TTTTTTTGCACTAATAAAGTTGTGGAGTTGTAAAGTATTTTGTCTAGTGTCAATTATATCGTCAGTTATATCGTTATCACAAATTTTCAAATGTATATCGTGATAAATATTTTTGGTCATATCGCCCTGCTCTAGACTGATTATTGGGTTGTTATTTGTTTTCAGAGAATGCATATGGTATCATTTATTCACCTAGACACAAGTCTACACATGCCTTACTACAGTCACAAAGGCAATGAAATCCTGTGAGAAACACTGATAAAAAACTGGATGTGCCCCCTGGTGGCCACTGAAAGGGATCCATGTTTAAAAGACTTCCTCAATGGCTTGACTTTTTAGGCCTGGAAGCTGTCCTTTTTTCTATACAGTGTATGTAAAAAAACAGCAAAACTAAGAGCAGAGGAATAAGAAACCAGAGTGGCTGAAAAAAATGGCTTGAGTTGGAGGTCAGGTGGAGAAATTCATTGGAAACCTACTTGTGATTTTAATGTCAAGATGACTGAACGAACTTTCCATGAAAAGAACCTCTAGCTTGGATCGCATGAGTCAGGCAAAGATGCATAACACACACCCCCACTGCCTACAGCCAGCGGCAGCAATCCACTCTGTCAATACTACAGCAAGATCAGAGCCAACAACACATCTCATTTGATATTGGTTTAAAGAGTTTGATATGAATGTCATTACACCTTGGTAAGTAAGTATTTTTTCACTTATGGTATGAATATGAAGAGATTCTGGCAGGAAAATGTCCTGCGTTGTTTTTTTTGTTATGTTTTTTTAATAAACAATTTTTCATAGTAGGATTGAAATACAGGAAAATACACAGTAAGGCAACAGATGCTCACTGACTTGGCTAATTATCCCTGTCTACTTAGTTTACCTCAGATATCAGACTATTAATACATTAATAACTCTCAGGTTATCAAACTTATCCACTTCAGAGGGGTTAAAAGGTCAAAAATAAAATTAAAATTGTTTCCCTGAACTTGTTCCTAAATTTTCCTATAATGGGTCATTTTACACTGGAATTTTCTGTTTTTTCCAGGAAAGCTGCATACTTGCCTTTTAAAACCATGGAGATAAACTGCTTTTCAATAAAGTACTTTATGCATTTATGATGAAAATTGAATAATATAATAAAATTAATAATAAAAACAATAAAATGATAGTCATCTGCTAAGAGTCACGTCCTGATAGGTTAAAACAGGTCTTTATTACATCGGAGTGTCGTTTTATGGCAGATGTGCTAACTGGTCATGCCTGTTTATTGCTTAACAACACTGTTAGTGATGAATATGAATACTTGGCTCAGTGAATGTGGGAGTGCAAATCCCACAGTCAGTAAACAACACTGTAACCACCACAGAGTGTTTCCTTATCAGACAGTCTGTCAGCCAACAATGTTCAAGTCAAATTAACCTGCACTATACTTGGGATTTAAGGGATTTTTTTGTTTGTTTTAATTTGTGTTTAGACTTTGTTCATTTTTCAGTCAGATTCTTAAATACAAACTAAAATTATATTGCAAAATAACAATAATAATAATAAGTTTTCAAGTATATTCTCAAGTAGAATTTATGCATTCTTACTTATTTAAATGTGCTTTAGAAATGCTTTTCACATAATAAATGTTTCTTATTGGCAGTGTTTATATGACGAGTAACTAAATTAAATAAATTAAAATGTTAGACCTTCCTGAGAATCTTAGGTATCTCTAACAAAAAATGTGGAATGACTTCCTTTTTCAAGGACTTGGAACAGACTTTCCATTCATATCTAAAAGGATTTAACATTAACATTAACACTGAGCAACAACAGCCAATGTTTGCTTAGAAATGTAGCCCACTAAATAGTAACTTCAAACAACAACATGAACTCCACAAAAAGGAAAAAAACTGATTTGGCTTCACACTGGCTTTTAAAAGTTGCAATGCAAGATTTATGCAGCATAGGCAAGTTATTGCTATCTAGCCAACTATATATTACTTTCTAACACTGTTCGCCACTGTCGGGGCTAATGCTAGCTCCCTTAGTAAATGAGGGTGTTGTTAAGAACACCTTTGTGGCTGTACTTAGACAACTTTTAATACTACAAAATGATTATTTTCATAAATATAAACAAAATGTAATTAGGAATACATCAATATACAATCCACTATCATCTACATATTGGCAAATCTACAAACATGAGAGCCATGCATTATAAACTATTTAACCATGTAGCTAGGGTTTACCTGGCAATATTTTTGCTTTTTTAAAAGGTAACATATACTTTTATCAGCTCATGATGTAAAAATCAAGTTTTTTTCCCCCAAGTTTGTTATTTAAGGGTACTTTGCAAACAGGACTGCAAGCTTCCAGTAGTAGAGGTCTACTACATCATACACAACACAAACAGAAGTAAAACATATCAATAAAAGGAACAAATAGTAGAAAAACTATTATTAGATTATAGTAAAATATTCAAACAATTTCAATTATTTTAAGAAAAATAATATTTACCTGTTGTATGTGAATTTAGCTCTGACTAAATATATACATGCTGTAAACTCCTTAAATCTAAAAGCAAACATTCCTCCAAGACACAAGCTTCCCAATTAGCCATAAACTAGAAACGTCTTTAAAAATATTAATTTTTAAAAAGAAAAGAAAATCACATAAAAGTTGTAGATTTTACTGTTTGCAGTTTATGGGACCAACACTGATCCATAAAGATCAAGAAAACTCCTGCATGACAAGTAGGTTAAGGCCGGGAAAAACAGAACTTTACAGTTAGCCATTAACTCTCCTCTCTGCCCCCCAAAGAACCGCTAATTCCCTCCGAAAAGTGCCCCCACCCCACTACCACTCCCACCCACTGGATGTAATTAGTTCCTACTCTTCAGCAGCCTTACCTCTCATCCACTCCACCACTTGTTGCGGGTTCCACTTGCTCACAGCTTCCATTTTTCTCCAAAGCGCTGGGAGCACCAGGGTTTAATTTAACTCCAGAACCAGCGAGACGAATCCGTTAATGGGACATGACTTTATCACAGAAAAGAACACAAGAGGTCCGTTACAGGACAGAGACACACGGTGAAACAACGACCCAACGGTCCGCCACTCACTGACGGACTGCCTGCCTGCTGCTCTGTGGTGACTGGTTAGCAGCGCGTGGAGCAGGTTTCAGGTTACCATTGCTTTGACCACGCCTCGTTATTCCTTTACCTCCAATCGCATGAGTGTATGCGAGGCTGTTGTTAACTTTTGTGGGGAAAGGGGGAGTGTTGTATGGAATGCCATTTATGTCAACATTAAACGATCAGAATATATATATGTGTGTGTGTGTGTGTGTGTGTGTGACCGTTTTTGAATACTCAAAGGTTAAACGACAGCATTTGAAAGAAACTAATTTTTTATTCTTTTATTTCTTGTGTTTGATTGTTTTTCTTTTCTGTTTAAATACATATATCAAATGTACAATTAAGCAACATAGCAACAACAGGATTACAAAAAGATGATAAAAAATTAAAATAATCAAGCTTTATTGTAATGTGTACAGTACTTAACAAATTTATTAGACCACCACCCAGTGTTATGTATATTCCACAGCTGCCCTAAATATTAGCCATTTCCAATTTATATTTTTAATGTTCTGTACTGCCTAATCCACCACAAACACTTTCCTATATAATAATGCTTCAGTATAATTTTTTGCTGTTATCCTTGAATTTTCAAATTGCTCGTGAAGCGCATCATTATTATTATTTTTATTAAGATGCTACATTCCACTTAGTTACTTGCGTTCTTGAATACAAAATTAGTTTTAGTGGATTAATTTTATGCTTAATTATTTTCTGACTTCTCAGAGTATAAAAACTTGAATTCTGTTTATTTTCCATCTAAATAAAAATATAGTTTTTAGTGTTAAACATATTTTTTGTACAGATTTCTAAATTGTTTGTTTCTTGTTTTTATGGCAGGTATTCTAAAAAAATAGTTAAACATATATTCTTAGCAGTTCTATCAGGGGCTTCATTTTCATCAATACAAAACAGAGATTAACAGGGAAAAAAAGAGACTAATCATATTTTCTGGTTTTGTCAACTTCCACTTTTAATCCCAGGTTTCACCTTCACTGAAAGTGTCCTAAGCATATTCTAAAATATAATTATGCCCTTTTATTCCTTTAAATGTCATTTTATAGACCTCAGATTTACATTTTGAATTTTCTGTGCAGTTGTTTAAAAGGTGCTTTCCCCATCATAACATAACATAACATAGTCACATTTTTCAGGTCATACTTTAGGAAAATGTTTACAAATGTCAAATTCAGGCATTTTTTCTTTATATGACTGTTTATGGGATGAAAAAATAAGTAAGAAAGTAAATACTTAGGTAGGTATAACTTCTGTCTTTACTGGATTAGGGTCATTTACTTGTAAATGCAGCTGCTCGGTATCAGTAAGGAACTTAGATACTGTGTGCCACTGTACTTTACGTTTATTATTATTAGTGTAAATCATGTACATCACTGTTCTCTACGCTACTGCTGCTAAATGTCCGTCTCTGTATGTTTGCCATTGGTTTGTTTTTATATTAAATGTCACCATGGACGACTTCCCTGTTATCTGTGTACATGTACTGTACACATGTGTAATAACCATAATCAGTGTGGCCTTCACTTTCTCAACATATTATTATTAGTGTTCCCAGAATTTACGGACACAACTCGGAAAACAAGCTTTTGAAAACGCTGCCCCCATTTTCCGGAATAATCCCAGAAGAACCTGAAGTTATTAGCTTTTTAAGGATCGTGAAAATGTTGTCGATGCTACTCTCTCAATCTCCATGAGACTTTTACTTTCAGAAAAGTGTATATAGAGAGCATTCATCATATAAAATGAGAGTTTTGAGGTGTTTCAAACCAAGAATGTAGTTGATTAATCTTTAAATGGAGCCTATTTGAAGATTAGCAGCAGCATTTTCAGAGGTGTGAGGTTTAGTCGCTGCATAGCTCGGAAGCTCTGAAGGTGAGTAGACTGTCATCCCAAACAAAGACATTTATTATGAATAAGACTTTGTTTCTAAGATTTTACATTTCTATGTTTCCTCCCATCATCCAGGATATCAGCGTTCATCCCATGTAAGTATGAGAAAGATGCCCATTTTTGTTGTGATATAAGAGTATGTATGCTGTTTGCAACCCATAAATGTTTATAACCAAAACAACAACAACATATGTGTAAAAGTCCAGATTGGTAAAGGACTGTGAGACCTTTATGTCCTTCATAAAGAGGACAGACACAGAAAATGAAATATGAGGAAAGAACTTTGTTTGTTTAGGAAACTCAAACAATATTTGTCTTGCATTCCACGCCATTACACCTTTTCATCTTTTAAAATAATGTGGGTGTTGCCTTTGACTGTGTTTTATCGGGTCATGTGTCTCTGGTAATATTCAGTCCACATGAGTTGTGCATGCATTTACTGGAAGTGTTTTCCTACCAAGACCTCTTCTCAGCCTCATATGAAACAAAGCCTCTGCACGGCTGATTATCACATTAAAAATGTTTCTTCTGGCCTGTAATCAGATCTTTGATCTTCTGAGCTCCACAGCAGCTCTGTCATGTGTACTGGGTGTTGGCTTGTTAGGACTTTTTTTCTGCTGATGTTTCCCATGGGAAGAAGAGCTTAGCAGACTCTGCTCACATGGGTGAGAAGTCTAAACCGTAACGATCGAGGAGACAGATGTGAAATGAAAGTAGAAAACTGGAAAGAAACGAGGGTTGCTAATCAAGATGTACGACCACAGTAAGAACCCTGAGTTAATATCTATGGGTGGACTGCGCAGGAGGAAACATGGTGGGGGAAGTTTAACCTTCAGGGGACCTTATTTTAGGACAAAGTTACACTGTGAAAGGTTTATTGCAAATGTGTTTATAATATTATTGCTGTATTCATTTACAATATTTCACAGGAATTTGCACTACCATTAAGATAATTTCATTTACATTATTATTATTATTATTATCATATTATTTTTATTAAAGTTTACTGTAAACTGGTTTACTGCAGAACTAATGTAGTTTACTGTTTACAGTAATACACAGTACAACAAACAAATTAAACATCAGGAAAAAATATTGGTACTGCACTGTTGAGTGAAACATTGGTGTTGGTATCTGGGTTTGCATCACTAGAACAAATATGTTGTGAAGATATTTTCTGACTTCCTCATGAATAAACATACGGCAGTTTTTTTTAGAGAACACTGCCCTCTTTTGGCAGAAATCAGACATGACGTTGACTCTGCGTGGAAACAAACTGCTTTTACTTCATGAGCCACGTGCAGCCCAGTCTGATCTCGAGTATCAGACAGTAAAAATGTCCCATAATAGCCTATGTTTATTTTTCTTTTTCTTTTTTTAAAGTCAGTTACTTATTGTAAGTGTGAAAAAGTACTTTTTGATAACATTCACGCGGCCCATAGATGAGCTTTAAAAAAAAACAAACAAACAACTTTAATCCACAAAAACATGAGTGGGAAATCCTTTACACCACTTCCTCAAAACATTTTTTTTTGTAAAGATCTATTTACAAAACAGGTGATTTTTAACCACAGATAAAGAAAGTAACATTACAATGTCAACATTACATCTCGCTTTTTCTACATTTATTGAGTCTACTATCTTTAAACGTGCATCACAGTATTATTTAAAGTAGAAAGACAATGAAAGTAGATAGAAAGAGAATGTTCACATTGTGCTTCCCACTGGACCCCCTCAGAATCAGAACACCACACTGAGGGAACCTCAAAGTAATCCACCAAGTAAAACTTCAGCAATAACTCAGTAGCACAATGAAGCTAATGGGCAGCATCACTAGCATAATAAAAGACATCAGCACAGGAAGACAGAATCCTCGAATCCAGACACTTACATTTAAAACAGCTGATTTTGCACTTCACATCTAATTTCACTCTTTTAAAGAAATCATCACCATACTAGTTGAAGAGGTATATTTAACTGATAAACTGTACATTGTTACATACACTGTTAAGGAAAAGATTAAGAGAAAATAGAAAGGCCAAAAATGTTAACTTCACAATTAAATGAGTAGGGGAGACCGGGGATAGTTGTAACATTTTTGACATTTCTGTCTGTAAATT